GGCTCACTTCAGGCTGCTTGCGTGAAATCTGCTTCTGGGTGTGCTCGATGTCGCGATCTATCACGAGGCTGAGCTCACAATCAGACATAACATCGGGGCCATGGGAGCGGTGCTGCGTAATATCTATCTGAAATGAGGTCCGAAGAGGTAGAGAGGGTCGAAGGGTCGAAGGAAGAGGTTAGCAACCTTGGTACGCAAACTGGGCAGGTCCATTGCCAACGAAGAAGCAGCCAGTGTTATCCCAATCTTCGCGCAAATTGGTAAAATTCAGACGTGCAGAAAGGGCTAAACTGCTGGACAACACTCTAAAAGCGCAGGCGAAGATGATTGAGGCATTGAATTTACGTACTATGGACCAACTGGAGATCATGACAGGGGATGCCGACGGAGGTCAGGGCGTAGATCCAAGCCTCCTTTGGGTTTGAAGATGTAAAGTTTGAAACAGCTCGGATAACAGCGGCTCGCTCGTCGGCTTTGGAGCAGACGGCGCCTGTCGGCGGAGGGACTCTGAGTCATTTCAACTGGACGCCCGTTGATGGGGGTGGGAATCACTTGCCTGTACTACCGTCCAGTCTGATTTTGACCTTCCCCTATCTGTGGGGTTCGATGAGTTGGTTCCAAATACTGTCTTCCCTTGGCCTGCTGCTGATAGCGACAAATCATACGTGCGCTTCCAATAATTTGCACCTCTTGTTCGCGTCCATGACAAGTTTCTCAAGGGAGGGGGACGGTTCGACAGGTGTCAACACTGCAGATTCTATCCTAGAGTCAATGTCCTGTAGCAAACCCTCCACTAGTCGATAAGACATTTGTTCGCAGGGCGGGACATATCATGATAGAGTGTCAGCCTTTGAGCTGCAAGCGGCTAACCATGGCGACTTTTTCTACTCGTTCCTATAGGAAGTGCCATTCTATGTCTAATTCCTCTTGCTTACCTGGAACAAGGAAGCTAAATTTCGGCGTTGCGAAGGACGATCTGCTAAGGATTTAGGAGAAAGAACGCAATAAGTTTCTTGGTGCCCCTCGTCGATGTTCCGGATCTTTCACAGGTAGTACGACTCCAGAGAGCGGCAAAAGAGGACAGCTTTACAGGACAGAAGATTCCCAGATGTTCAGCTATATCCCTGACAGACGAGACATGGCTCCAATAATCGGTGCATTAAGAGCGACGACACCTACATTTCTTCAGAACCTGATCGTGGCACCAGCAAATATACCTGTATGTATCTCGCACTAGCAGCACTAGTAATTCCCCCCAACCCTGAACCTGAGTTGCTTGCGACCATGCTCCACGGCCCGTGGTATCACTCTGAATCGGCGAACAGCATCAAAGTGCTCAATCGACTTCTAGGAGGCCGATGGCCCTGGGGTGGCCAGGGGGACGTGGAGAACGTGCGTCGCAGTTTGTTGGTTGTCCGACACCCATGCTTGGCTGTCGACCCGCACCAAGTAATCAATCGCATTGGGTTCGGCCTTCAAGCTTCAAGTAACTATGTGGCAACGAATAGGTATGCAGTCAAAAAGAAAGGTGTTGTGCCACCCGGTGCAGTAGAACCATTGCTGCAGCAATATAAAAGCCACAGCACACCCGTGAAGCCGGACACAATTCGAAAGCGAGAGGGCGTGAGGACCACAGATTTACATTAAATACTGAGACGGGACTTGGGGTTTCTGGATGGAGCATAAAGCCACGTGCGCGTTCGACGAGCAAGAGAGCTGACGCTGCTGAAGCGCTGACGATGCGCTAGCAAGGCGGGGTGCAAAAGTGCGACAAGGCATTGATTGCTAGTCACGTGATGCTCCAGCCATAAGTACAGCACATATCCCTTGACCGAAAACAAGAAGTCGTTGGTCTCAAGTCATCATCCACCTCTTAGAAAGCTGACTATGGTTGTGACCAAACCGAAGAGAATATCGGGTATCACTAAGCGAGAGGGGTGTCGTTCAGTCTCGACCGGGGGTGGATGCAAATCCTGGCAGTAATTAATATGGAGGTCAACGATGAGTTGAACCTGTGATGGCTTGTAGCACCCAAGCACCGCGAGTCTTTTCTTTGAGAACGACATAGTGCCTTCCCTGGAGCAAGACGGAAACGCACTCGCCATCGCAGCTAGGGTGACCCTCGCGTACCAATAACACTGGCAAGTGTAAAAATTGTAGTATTTGAAAGTGGTAGATGCCGCGCTTGCAAAGAAGGCGATGTCCAAGAGGCGGGGTGAAGGGTGGTGCCATCGAAGTGTACCCTTGCATACGGGCGCTTCACGGGCTCTTTGCCAGTACACATGCCGCTGCCTGTGTAGAAATATTAGACACGTCTGTCGCTGGAGCTGGGGACTTAGCGTACCTCGCTCGCAGGACTGTGACGGTGTCTATCGCAACTCCGCCATTCGAGGATACTACTCGCATACCACGATTACTAGGAACACGTTCGACGACGAGCATGAGCCTTTCTCCTACCAATACATCAATAACGTAGCTTCGTAAGGAGGTCATACAGAAGTCTGGTGGACTCACCACTCATATCGACGTGGACGAGAAGAAATTCATGGTACCAGGACGATCGAGAAGGGATATGATAAAGGTCACACGCAACGACTATTCCGGCTACTTGAGTTCTTGTCCTTGCGAAGCGTAAGAAATCTTGAACGCTGTACTGTCGAGAGTTCTCGTAGTCGTGGAGGAGGCTCAAAGTGTGGACCATAGCCACACTAGCAGGATCGGAGTGAAGGACAGAAGTCAGTAAGGACAATTGTAAGCAGACAGTGCAGGTCCCAATATTGGCGGTGGCGGAGAGAACACAAATGATTTATAGTGTCGTAGGATCCCATGATAGTATTGGAACGATACTTTGACAACCGACGCGTGGCCCATCTTCGACTAATCCATATTGATTTCTTCTGCGTGCGATTAATATTAAGTGGGGATTGAGGAATGGACATTCCATCTTCTTGTCAATTCCGTTTGAACACAAAACACGGACACCGTTGGTGCAGGTGAGAGGTGCGGCCGATCGAGTGGGGCACCTGCCACACCGGACGGTGTGTCGGTACAGCATCTTTCCAAGTCGGTATGGCAGGTGGCCCTTTCGCGGTGATCGAGTGCGGCTGATCGAGAGGGGCACCTGCCATACCGGATGGTCATACAGGATTAAGTACATACACTGCACCGAACCAACGAACCATCATCATCCGGGGCTAAGTACAATGCACTGCACCGAACCACCGAACCATGATAATGCAGGGTTAAGTACACACATCCTCATATGGCAGGCGCTTCAATGCCAGATGAGTCGATGATAGGCCACGCGAGTGGTTATCCGGATGTTCCGGGTCCCCTGGCAGGACGCTTTGACATCGTACTAATCCGGATAAGCAATATTGTTTGGATATGTTACTCAAAAATCGTTGAGTCGGACTTTACTCAGACTAATAGCTATATCTTACAAAAAAAAATCAAGGTCGGATTATCTACATTTGGAGAATCCGGTTATGCCCCCTGCTAAAATCTCGTTTCCGCAGTGACTCATCTGTACTTCACCTGGTGTGCTTGAGGTATGCGCATTCTATGAACGCGGACACTTGAAACTCGCGTGACGTGTTTTGCGTGAGTGGGAAGGGTGCGCTTACGACACCGCGTCCGCGTCAGTGATCGAGCCATGCGATCCATGGATACCCATCTTGCTGACAACACTTGTGCGTTGTTGGGAGGTGAACGTTTGAACACGGACAACAGGCTGAATCGTCAATATTGGTTAGTCCAAGTGAGAACTCTGTAGATTCCAGTCAGACAAGATCAGATACCCGATTGGATGTGAGTGAGCTGTTGTACAGAATTCCAATGTTTGTCGTTCACCGTACGATATCACATCCCATCAGATCTCAATAGATTATGTAAGTTACAAATGACATGCTGTACATGTACTGAGCGTGCCCGTTTGGCACCTCCCGGTGGGTTCATAGGTTTAGGCAACCACTCGCGTGGCCCATCTTCGGCTCATCTGTACTTCACTTGGTGTGCTTGAGGCACGCGCATTCTATGGTGAACACGGATTGCGCCACAGGATGTCTTTTGTAACTTACATAATCTATTGAGATCTGATGGGATGTGATATCGTACGGTGAACGACAAACATTGGAATTCTGTACAACAGCTCACTCACATCCAATCGGGTATCTGATCTTGTCTGACTGGAATCTACAGAGTTCTCACTTGGACTAACCAATATTGACGATTTAGCCTGTTGTCCGTGTTCAAACGTTCACCTCCCAACAACGCACAAGTGTTGTCAGCAAGATGGGTATCCATGGATCGCATGGCTCGATCACTGACGCGGACGCGGTGTCGTAAGCGCACCCTTCCCACTCACGCAAAACACGTCACGCGAGTTTCAAGTGTCCGTCTGCATTCCCCAATATCCCTTGATAGAATTCCGAGTCTCCCTTAACGTGTTGTGTCCCTTGCGACCCCCACCTCCTTGGACAACCCTGATAGCTGTGTTCATGCACTGGCAAGGCTCAATCTGCATTCCTTAATATGGCTTGATAGAATTCTGAATTTTCCCCAAAACGTGTTGCATCCCTTGTCAACCCCCGCCTCCTTTCACCTCAGTTGGCTCAATCTTCATTTCCTAATAGGTGCTGTTCGAACTCAATCCACGTTCCATGGGATCATCCTTGTCGTCATGCCGTGTGGTACGTGAACCTGCTACTTATCGACCCCACCCTATGCTATGCAATCTTTGCAGCAAGAAATGGCTTGACGCGGACGGCGGCCCTACCCATCTCTCACCCCTTAGCATCATGTTTTCTGGTCATTATGTATTCTGTCGTCGGAAGGTAAGTAAAACAAATCTCCCCGTCGCCTTGCCGTGAGGCGTCCACCTTGCAACCTTCCCCCTTTCTGGCGAACGGGGCATAATCATAACGTAACTAATCACGTCAACTCTCCAGAGGTATGAGTGTGACAGCGTGCGTTTTTGGTGTGAGTTTCTACTTCCCGCACCGCCGGAAAACCGGTAATAATGTCCAGTTCTAATACCGTCATGTCTTGCAAGGCTATAAATCAGTTGTGATCCCTCAGCCAGCACTATTGCGGCCCGCTCTGTCTGCCTACGATCATCTTTACCGATTTACTGATTTTCATCCATCCCGCTGATATGGATGTGGTCCGTACTTCGAGCCTCCTGTATGACTACGAGAACTCTCGACAGTACAGCGTTCAAGATTTCCTACTCTTCGTGAGGAGAAAAACTCAAGAAGCGGGAACAGTCGTTGCATGTGACCTTTATTACATTCCCTCTCGATCGTCCTGGTACCATGAATTTCTTGTTGTTCACGTCGATATGAGTGGTGAGTTCATTAGACTTGAGTATGATCATCTTAAGACCTTACGTCATATTGACAGGAGAAAGGCTCATGCTCATCATCGAACGTGTCCCTAGTAACCATGGTATACGAGTAGTATCCTCGAATGGTGGAGTTGCAAGAGACACTATCACAGTCCTGCGAACGAGGTATGTTGTCCCCAGCTCCAGCGACCGATGCGACTGATGTCTCTACACAGGCAGCAGTATGTGTACTGGCAAAGAGCCGGTCAAGCGCCCGTATGCAAGGGTACACTTCGATGGCAGCACCCTCCACCCCACCTCTTAGACGTCGCTTTCTTTGCAAGCGCGGCATCTACCACTTTTAAACACTACAATTTTTACACTTGTCAGTGTTATTGGTACGCCAGGGTCACCCTAGCTGCGATGGCGAGTGCGTTTCCGTCTTGCTCAAGGGAAGGCACTACGTCGTTCTCAAAGAAAAGACTTGCAATGTTTGGGTGCTACAAGCCGTCACAGGTTCAGCTCATCGTTGACCTTCATAGTAATTACTGCAAGGATTTGCACCCACCCCCAGTCGAGACCGAACGACGCACCTCTCGCATAGTGATACCCGATATTCTCTACGGTTTAGCTGCGTTTATAGTCGACTTTATAACATTTCGATTTCTTGCACTATTAACATTCCCCGAACCAGACCCTGACACTGGAAATCGACATGGCAGGAGCAACACCGGAATCTAACCGGTGTGTGGCATCCTGTTTAGATGGATGACGACTCGAGACTTCTTGTTTTTAGTCCATACTTGCGCGACCCGTGAATTTGTCTACGGTATTACAACCACAGCATATCATGTATTTATTGTCGGTGTTCCTCTCAGCCGGTACTGGGTGTAACTGGGAAAATCGCAATACATGACGTGGTGCACCACACACCATGTAGATGATACATACTGAAGACTGCCGCCTAGTGCTCACATTAATGATGCAGTTGATATGATGGAGAAAGAACGGAAGTATTCTTTCTAATCATCAGTCTGGGTGAGAAATGTCAGACGCAAGCTATATCACCTCATGTCTACCTCATCAGGAAAATAACACTTTACTATTTTTGACTTTTTGTGACTAATGTGACTTTTTGGGAAGGAATCTACTATCATTACCCATGTCCTGCAGGCATGGCTGCACTTTTCTTGCTGATTTTGGTCTTGTTCAAACCACCTAATTCATAGCTTTCAGTAGATACCACATACATTCAAGTTGATGGAGGTTCCAAAGAGATATTGTGATTTTTCTCTCAGACAATGTGCATCACACCAATGGCTCAATATCTCTGAATTTTCAGACATTTTCTAGTCTTCTTGGCTTAGATATATCATCACTTAGTTGTCTCAATAGATTCTGTTCTCGTTTCATTCTTCAAAATGCTGTATATGGTCAAAAAAAAAGTACAGATAGTAGGTTCCTTTCCACAAATAGTCACAATAGTCACAAAAAAGTCAAAAAAAGTCACAAAAAGGTCAAAAATAGTAAAGTGTTAATTTCCTGATGTGGGTGTATCAGGTGATGTCGGTGATGATCGGTCGATACTGGTTATCACACCGATGTTGAAAAATAAAAAGAGAATCCTAACACCGGAATCAACAACTTGGCATGTTACACAAACGTCACAAAATACTTGTTTCGTGCGGCATGTATGCCGTGACGATGCATATGTACAAGTTACACACAGACCATTCTCATTTGTTAACATAAGTACAGGGATTCGACACGCAGCAGTCAAAGGTTCATCGCTTACAACGATTCATATCACGGCGGCTCCACTACTTAGCTCCCCATGTACTCCGTGAGTCCTACTTCCTGTGTCTCAGTTCAACGACCCACTCTGTGATGTCTGCGATCGCGTGACTTATTTCAGACTGCATCCGCGAGATCTGCAGCTGGGTGCGCTCGATGTCGCGCTGACGACGCTCTATTAAGAGGTTGAGTTCATGGTCCGACATAAAGTTGGGGTCTTGGGAGCGCCGTGCTCTGCGGATCTGATATGAGGTCGGGAGAGGTGGAAGAGGTGGAGGAGATGGAATGATCGAGGGAGGAGCAAGTTGGCAACCTTGGTATGGGAACTGGGCAGGTCCATTGCCACTGTAGAAGCGGTCAATGTCATCCCAGTCTTCGTGGGGACTGGTAAAACTCGAGCGGGCAGAAAGGGCAGGGCTGCTGGGCGCCACGCTAGGAGGGGTGGGTGAAGTTAATCGAGGAGGTGAGTTTGCTCTGGGCAAGCTGGTGACGATCACATGGAATGGAGATGGGGGAGGAGAGGGCGTAGATCGCTTGGACAACTCGGGCGAGAAGTAGCTTGTACCGCACCAGGCTCCCTTCGAGCTTGGAAGGTGGAAAGTTTGAAACAACTCGGATAACGGCAGCTCGCTCGTCGGTTTTGGAGCGGACGACGCCTGTGGACGGTCCTGTCGGCGGAGCGTAAGTCATTCCAATTGAGCGCTACCTAGTTCGACAGAATCACTTGCCTGTACTACCGTCCATCCGGACTTCGACTTTCCCTTGTCCGTGGGGTTCGATGAGCTGTTTCCAACTGACATCTTCCCGTGGGCTGACACTGGCAGCGACGGATCATATACATGCGCTTCTAATGATTTGCATTTCTTGTTCACATCCATGATAAGTTTCTCAAGGGCGGCAGACGGCTCGACGGGCGTTAATCCTGCAGATTCTGTCCTAGAGTCAATGTCCTGTAGCAAACCCTGTGGCAGTCATAAACAACCGTTACATCGGACTATTCATACGAAGGGTGGGAGACATACCATGACAGAGCGCCAGCTGTTGAGCCACAACTGGATCTCGCTCGCTTTGTCGAAGACATTGGGACAAGACCTGGCGACTTCTTCCACCTGCTCCCACAGCAAGTGCCATTCTACGTCTAGTTCTTCTTGCTTTCCTGGAACGAGGTAGCTAAATTTCGGCATCGCAAGCGACGTCCCAGCGCAAAGGACGTAGAAGAAGGAAAACAAGAGGGTTCCTTGGCGCTCCTCAGCTGCTGTCCCTTCATATCTAGGCGCCAATCCACAGCATCTTCCTAAATGTAGAAAGGCTCCCCTAATAGTGGGATTTGTGTTTGCAGTTGTTTGGTCATCAGCCAACCTCCTGCCCAAATTTTCGTTTCGGAAGTTTTGAAGGCGCGCTGCTTGCAGACAGGCCAAAAGAGACGTCGCGTTCAATCAGGGCGTACCGAGTTCCCTGTGAAGAACCGACATAGATGCGGCATGTGGTGTGTCTTTTGCTGACGCTTTTGATGACGAGCTCACTGTTAGCCTCCAAGCAGCTAACTTATGTTACTTTGTCGCCGTATCCTCCGTGTGCACGTTCCAAATCTCTCATCAGTTGTACGACTCCAGGGAGCCCAGACTGTGCAGCACGGAAGACTCTCAGATGTCAAGCCGTATCTCAGACACACGAGACATGCCTCCAATAACAGGTGTGATGAGAGCGACGACGCTCCTGCTACATCTCCTCAGGACCCGGCTGTGGTTCCAGCAAATATACCTCTACCTCACACTAGTAATTCCCTCCCCAACCCTTACCCTGAATTGCTTGGGACCGTACTCCGCATCTCGCGGTACTCCGAACCAACGAAGGGGGTCAAAGAACTCAAGACTGTCGCGGGCAAGACTGTGGTCGAAGAGAGCAAATATAGCCCCTTTCAGGCCTACATGCTTCTCCGCGCGCAAGACTCTAATATCGCAGCCTCTCTCCCAGTTGACGTTCTCTGTTGTATCGCGCAGGGCGCGGTTAAGCATGGATGTCAGGATATCGTGGATAGTATTACAGCAGACGTATTGGCCGAGTGCAAGGACGATGCCAACTCTAGTAACACCCCCCCCAACTCACCCACAGTTATCGCTGATGTTGATATTAATGTTGGTGCTCCTCCGGAAGCTACCCTCCGCCACAACACCGACAGTCCTGATAGCAACCCTAGCTGTGCCCATGGCACATTTAGACTGCGGGACCGAGCCAGCGTTGCAGCGGCTCTCCTCTGCGTCTCGCCCCGTTATCCACATCTGCTAGCGAAAGGCACGGTTCTTGCACTTCTCACTCTCATCAACTCAGCTGGCCGGATCGACTCGCTTCCTGTCAACGCTGCCTGCCACGCAATAAGGACTGTCTGTGATGATGTTCAGCCGGACACGTGTACCCAAGATATCATCGCGCTTGCCCTTCCTCGCTTCCTGGGGTGGCTCAGGGCCTGGCAAGCGCCGACAGGTGCGAAAGCAGTGTCCTATAGGCCATCCGAAACGATCCTCGCAGCTTATGGCGTGGTCCATGGGCTCGTTTTGCTTGGGGACAAGGAAAAGGCCTTTGATCTTTTCCGCGCACTTACGGAGAATCACCATATCCCTCCTGACTCATTTCGTCATGTCGATATGAATGTCGATGCGAAGAGTAACGCTGGATCAACGACCAAGTATGATTTTAGTATGATCATACGCAACGTCCTTGCCCGTGCATGCTTCCATTGGGGCTGGCACCATCTAGGAGTGGAGCTCATGGTTGCAATGACCGAGACTTACGACGAAGGAGTGCAGACGGAACATAGCAAGAAATTGGTCTCAGGAATACTCGACCTCTTGCATACTGCCATTGAGTCATGTACTACCGAGCAGTTTCGACGCTGCGCCACCCTCATGTGTTCACTGGTGAGCGATATGGACATCCCAGAAGCTACTGTCTGGCTATTTTATAACCGCGCGCGGCTGCTCAGGGACGGCACGTCAGCAGAGATGTTCTACCGCCGCACACAGTCACCCCAGATGCCCTCGAGGGTGCGGTATATGTCTCCCAGGGGTAGGGCATTCGTATGGCTGATGAATTATCTTTCGGAGGAAAGGCATAACGTCCATCTTGCACGGTCACTTGCGAAGCAGCTTGTGCAATTTTCAGTTCCTATCCCGCCATACGAGCGCGCCGCACTGGTTTCCATGGTTGCAAAGAACGGCTTTGCGGAGTCTGCGCGCGCGCTTTGGGAGCGATATACCGTGGGGAAGGACCGTGAGCTCGTGGTTGGGAATGCCGCGGCAATGATCCGGGTGGTGTCTCTGTTCGCGAACCTCGTTTCTCGCACGCAGGAGAAGTTAGAGATGCTGAGAACAGCTGATGACGCTGAACGACTACAAGACACCATTGTGGAGAAGGAGACGAGACTAGCAGACATGTCGCAGTTCGCACAGACGGTGTTGCTTTCATTCCACAAGTCGAAGGAACCACTGGACAAAGCGGCTCACTCTGACTTGAACGCCCTGGCGAGAGGCTACTTTCTGCTTGGCAGGATGAGACAGGGGTTACTACCATACCGCGCACTGCTCCGGCGGAAAGAAATACCGGACCTTTACGACATCAACGTGGCACTTTCGGCTATTTCGCGACACTCGCCGCGGATGGCAGCAAATTTGGTGGAGCGGATGCTCGCGACCGGGTTGCATCCTGACGCGGTTACGTTTGGTACAGTGATGCATCAAGCGTTAGTGCAAGGAGACCTGGAACTCGCGGGCATACTGGTAAAACAGGCGCACGAGTATGGGTTAGAGGCATTGTCAGCGAAGACGATGGCCGCACTGATCCTTGCGAGTGTGAGCGACAGGGCGGAAACTACGGAGGCTTTGGAAGCTAACCTGCGGCACGTGTGGGAGATCGTCCAGGTGACGCCACGAAGCAGTGTGGTACACACGCCGAATATAGGCGAGTGTTGCATCAGGGCGTCCTTGCATGTCGGAAACGCTAAGATGGCGTTTGACTTTTGGGATGAGCTGGTACGATGGAAGGCAGAGTGGGGTGATCATGAACAGATCCAGCTGCGGCGGAGTATTGGGAGGCTGGTGCGACGGCGCGTTCGGGAAGGGTCACTTGCGGCTGAACGGGGGAGAGAGATGCTCGGAGCACTTGGGCTTGGCGGAAGGGTAGGTTGACTTGGATTTCATATTTTCATTTCTTTTATCCGCACTGTCAGTAATAGAT